AGGACACAATTCAGTTATTCAGCTATCTATACACTGAAAATATCACATTAAATGCTGTCATTCTTCTGTAATTCCAATCCTTATTCAAGTATTAAAATGCTAACAAATCTTTAAAAACATCCGCATGTTTAATATCTTATTTCATATCACTATATACCCTTGAGTCTTGACAAAGGTCTAGCAAAGTGCCTATGTCAAAGGTAATTTAATATTGTCAAATTGTTAATATTAGTGCGTAAATTAGTATGGAATTCACAAGAATAGATTTGAATTTATATTTTAATCTTTCGTCCGTTGCCTGAAAGCAACATATGCATGTTTTATATGCAAAACGAACGCGGCAAATTCAAACATTCAATGGAATATTTTCAGACACAACGCTCAAGTAAACAATGACAATCATATTCACTAGATTATTTCGCAATGAATGTGTTTAAATAACAAGTCAAATATACAATTATTCTTACCTGTGATATCTGAATAACATTTTAAGGACTTTCTGATGCATTTTCCATCGTTATTTGTATATAGTTATATATATATTAACCTTCACCCTTAACCTTTTGAGAGTTTATAGAGCGGCTGCCGGTAATATAGTCACTTTGTTCTTATTTAGCTTCCAAAATTTGAGCTCTTTTTATTGCTATATATTGAATATTGAATCGTTGAAGAGAATTTTTATCTTCTGGAATTTTTATCCAGCAGGAATAGTTCGCGTATTGACTAAACGCCTGGTACCTAGTTTACCTTTTAGAACGCGGAACATCGCGGGATAGCGTCGTTTTAAATTTTTGTGAAAAATTTCATAATATGGAGATATTAAAGAGCGCTTTGCAGGCAATTTAAGAGGCAGTCCGTGTAAAAACCGACCACTCGAATTTCTTAAGATTACAGATTTCCTTCAAACTTTCTGTGTGGAAGAAGTCATTCATAAAATGAACAAAAAACGTTGACTTGGAAATTGTAGTCAGTTTTAAAAATTTTTTCGCAATTATTTTCGGACGCGTTCGAAAACAAGTTAAAACGTTAATTACGCAAGTGATATTTGAGCTTTTTTATATCTCACAGTTCATCTCGCGCTTTTATTCTAACTTCTTGAAACTTACATATTTTATTATTTCCTGCCTAGGCATAAACCTAAACTAAAAATTATGCTGATCACTTGAAGCAAACAAAATATTGTGTATTTTTAAAAACGTCTTTCAGACAGCGGATTAAATATTCGTGTTAGTATGCTGGCGGTAAATTATTTTTCTCAAAAGTGCAACGGTATCAGGTATCCAATCTATTGCAGCTACTGAGTATTATGACACATCTACTAGAATAAATAATAAAATCTTTGGGCAGTGTGTTTTTCGCTTGGCAAGCGCGTCATGAATATAGTCAATTTTCGCTAATTCGACTAATTATAAGCTATAATTTGTTAATGCATTTACTTAAATTTTTTCGCGTTAAAAACATACAAAATTGTTCACTATGTTTCAAATATGGCTGTTTTTTGGATAGAGACTAAGTTATAAATATGCCAGCATTTATGCTAGCTTTATAACATAAAGCAAAAGTCCTGACGCATGTGCCGACTGAAATTGACATGCACGCGTTGCTAATTTTATCCGCCGGTATTATCTTTTTATTATTTATCAGTGCATGTATGAATGAACTGTAAACATACTGATCTTGGTAACTAAAACTATATGCACCGATTTCCGCCGAATGTACACATCTATCACAGGAGAGTATTAGAAGAAAGTATATTATACAATTTATTAGAGAGTAATGTTTTTCGCGTGAAAAGCGGTTCATATGTAATCCCCGTCATCGCTTGAAGTCGGTCAACGCGTAATTTCAAGTTTTTCTTCGCTTTCTTAACAATATATTTATATCGTAAAATCATTACAATTTTAAGTCGTTGAAGTTGGTGGTGGTGGTGGGGGGGGGGGTTAAAATCCCCCAAAGAAAAGTCAAGAAAGGGCCCAAATATTTTCGGGCAATATAGACCACAGCTCCTCCAATAGATATATGAATCCCGTACGCCTATGAGTATACTACTATACATTTATATTGCACTCATGTGCATAGAGAGACAAGGTACGAAATTAGAATCTATAAACAATCAACTTTAATACATGCATGGTTGGGTATACAAAAACGTTTTGCCGTAAAAAAGAATTTCTTTCTTGTTGCTTTGAGCTATTAGGCTATATTAAAACCGACGAAACATGTAGTAAGCGTATATATTAAGTGAAAGTGAAACTTATTCTCAAACAAATAAATGAACCAAGACTGCATGTCGTAATTTCTCTGAAAGGGCGAAGCAGTAACTAAATGGTGTATATATAGAGGCATCTAACGGCAAGTGATTTAACGATCACACGGAGGGGTTATTAGAGACCTTACGATTTTAGGACGGCAACGCGATGACGACGGCCAAAACAAACTCCCTCAAATAAATGGTAGTATTAAGCCCATTATTTGTTGTATATTAGTTTCTCATCCGGGTTAGTCATTAGTTTCTCATCAGTCACCAAACACAACGCACATATAATTAGGAGCAGTCAATCACAGAATACGGAAACTGACAACTGTAACTGCGACAACAAAAACACTTGCCCACTACCGAAACAATGCATGACCAACAACATTATTTACAAAGCAACAGTCACAACGAACAACACGAACGACACTAAACACTACATTGGTATGACAGCGACTACATTTAAGGAACGTTACGCTAACCACACTTCATCTTTTCGTCATAAAAAAGACTCAAACAAAACGGAACTTTCAAAACATATTTGGAAATTAAAAGAAAACAATCAGGATTATACCATCAAATGGTCAATTTTAAAACACGCTATTTCGTACACAGGGGGATCAAAACGCTGCAATTTATGTTTGGAAGAAAAATTTTGCATTTTGAAAGACATAAACAAAGACAATTTACTCAATAAAAGAAGCGAAATTTTCGGCAAATGTCGTCACAAAAACCGGTTTCGAGTAAACAAGGTCGTTAACAAAGCCTAATGACACAAGCATGCATTGTTTCGCCTATACGCATTCCGCACATTCTTTCGATAGCATAAAAGCAACCTACAATTTCGAAATTACTCACCACCTGATGATTCCTATACGGATGAAACAGACTGTTGTGGTTTTTTGAGGTAAAACGAAAAACTACATTACGCTCTATCTATATGGTATTGAGCACTGTTTGTGTTTCGTAAACCAAAATCTTAAGCTATATATATATATATATATATATATATATATATATATATATATATATATATATATATATATATATATATATATATATATATATAATATATATATATACTATATATATATATATATATATATATATATATATATATATATATATATATATATATATATATATATATATATATATATATATATATATAGTTACTGTTAGGCATAGACATTCACATATGCATAGTGTAAGCGAGCGAACAGTGTGTGTGTGTGTGTGTGTGTGCGTGTGTGTGTGTATTGACTGGATTATAGTTACGAACTAAAGATAAAAGACCATATAGTCGATATGTGTATTTTTACTTGATATTTGTGTTTGTCATGGAATTTGTTCATCTATTTGTACACCAAAATGTAAATAGTATTTGTAATGTACGTTTATATTTATTAATAGAAAACCTCGTTTTACAAAGATGTGAGTAGTTTGCCTATATGTATTGCTGGAAAAAACGGAGGATGTCCGATACAGTTTTCGACTAGTACTCCATCGAATTTAATTGTATGTATATATATATATATATATATATATATATATATATATATATATATATATATATATATATATATATATATATATATATATAATTGTCTGCACTACATGTCGTGGAATATTAATATGGTGCCTAATTCGTAGAATGTGCCACATAGTCCTGTAGCCATTTAGACTATGGGGACCATTTCTGATTTCAAGCAAAATTATATCTCTGACCCGTCTTCTCAGTTCGTCGTTCACTTCATGACGTCTTGAGCAACCATAATCCTGGAGCCTACGCTTTAAGGTTCTTTCCTTCATTTCAATATTATGCTGTTTTTCTAACATCAGTGTAATATGCTTGCAAGTCAATCCCCGGTTAAAGTAATATTCGATGAAATCTCTTTCAGTGCCCTGTGGTAATTCGCTGTGAGTTGGTGTTTCGTTTTCAGAATCATCGCTCGAACTCGACTCACCCGACGCCATATTGCTTCATGCTTTATTCGTCCAGTACTTCAAGAAAGCAAGTCCAGTGCCATGCCTCCACGGTCATCTGCGCGCGCACTGTTTTTAACACATTTGTTTGCAGCGTGCTTTTACGTTTTGTCTGCAGCGTGCTTTTATACTTTGTTTGTAGCGTGCTTTTATGTTTTGTTTGCAGCGTTCTTTATATTTTGTTTGTAGCGTGATCTATATTTTGTTTGCAGCGGTTTTCACTATACTATTAGTTCGCGAGTATGTGAGTTAGAAATTTATTTTGTGTTTGCAGTAAAATATATTTAGTTTGTTGTGAATTTGTTTTGAACGGTGTCGCCCTTCTGGGCCACAGTATTTTTGTTACTAGCTACTCCATGCCAAAGTAAAATATATCATAGAAAAAGCGCTTATGGGCATACCGCCATTTCCAACAGACGAATTGTTAGAAATTTTTGTATGGCGACGAAACAATTTGCTTGCAAACATAAGCTGAAAAAGGGGATAGGGTAATAATAATAATAATAATAATAATAATAATAATAATAATAATAATAATAATAATAATAATAATAATAATAATAATAATAATAATAATAATAATAATAATAATAATAATAATAATAATAATAATAATAATAATAATAATAATAACAATAACAATAATAATAATCATAATAATAATAATAATAATAATGGAAACTTTATTAAATGTTTTTCTTTACATACATATACAATCGTAAATCTCTCTCATAAAGGTAACTTACGGTTGGCTATATGAATCACAACTATACTAAACTAAAATAACAGAACAAAGTGCATGCAATATATGTATATACAATCAGATAAGTCAAATTGTTAGTAAATCCGGATTTTCCCATTCCTTATTTCGGCAGCAAAAAATGTAATATGTAGCTCTAATAGCAATAGTCATCATTTTCCTAACGCAGTACATTTGGTGGTTTTTGTCAAGACCAATACTTTCTAACATGTCTAAAAATGTAGAACATTTTTCTGCAAAAATACCTAAAGAGCTGATAGAGAGATTTATAAATTTAACTTGGTTAAAATTTTTACCTAGCTGTCTCAATAATTCTCTATATGTATCCTTCTTCCGTTTTACGTTGTTCTTGAGGTTTGTCTCATAACCAGTGGTGAGTTCGACCACATATAAGGAACCATTTGAGCACGATAATAACAAATCTGGGCGATATGTATCACCAGTAAGTATTGAAGGAATTTTGAATCCATGTAGATCAGCGTAGAGAGTAGAACCGTCAACAGTTTGTAACTGATGAGCAAGAAAGTTCAGGACTGAATTGTGTCTCCACGTAAATCGGTCGAGATAAAACTTACATCCAGCTACCATGTGTAGTAATGTTTCAGGGCTAAGACAAAAAGAACAGTCTGCATTTGAAGATATTGCCCATCTGTTTACGTTTTTGCGCGTCGGAAGAGAGTTGTTAATGTAACGAATGGTAAAGTTGTAAATGTTTTTCGGGAGCTTTGATTGGGCGATGGACCACACCTTGTTAAGCTGGGGTAAAGCGAACTTCGTGACGCTGCAGAAAAAGGATCCTTGACTGGTTAATTGGTTCAGGAGTTTGTTTTCGTGTCCAGAACGAAAATCTTTGAGAACTTCCTTAGCAGAGCTATAAGCGTCATATTGGATATTAGTATGGTTACTGGTTGCTTTCCACAGGTAATAATAATAATAATAATAATAATAATAATAATAATAATAATAATAATAATAATAATAATAATAATAATAATAATAATAATAATAATAATAATAATAATAATAATAATAATAATAATAATATAATATTACTTTCAATAATATATATACACACTACAATGATAAACCTCTCTTTACAGGTAGTTTACCGGTGTCTACTTGAATTAACACTCTACATAATAACAATATTAGTATGACATTAGTTGTGGGTTATCCCATTCTTTGTTACGCTTACAGAATATATAATACGAGGACCTGATACATATGTTAATAATTTTCCGAACATAGTACTTTCTACATTGTTCATCAAACTTTAGATCTTTCAGCATTTCGGTGAAATCTAGCGACGGGTGGCTGAAAACTCCTAATGAGCTAATCGATAAATTAACAAATTTCACTTTTTCATAATTTTTGAGCTGTTCGTTAATTAGATCTTGATATTTTTGTCTTTTTCGAGTTGCATTAGTGAGGAGATTAGATTCAAATTCGACGGTAAGTTCAAGTATATAAATACATTTGTTTTCAAGTGTTATCAAAAGATCAGGGCGCCATTCATCTCCGGTGATATAGCAGATGGACTGATATAGCCAGGAAGGTCAGCATAAAGGTTACAATGGTTCACAGATTTAAGTATGGATGCTATGAAGTTAAGCACCGAATCATGATAATAATAATAATAATAATAATAATAATAATAATAATAATAATAATAATAATAATAATAATAATAATAATAATAATAATAATAATAATAATAGTAATAATAATAATAGTAATAGTAATAATAATAATAGTAATAATAATAATAGTAATAATAATAATAATAATAATAATAATAATAATAATAATAATAATAATAATGGAAACTTTATTTAATAATTTTGTTATATACTATCTATATACAATTGTAAATCTCACTAATTAAGGTAACTTACAGTTGGCTATTTGAATCACAACTATGAACTAATAATAATGACAAAACTGAATACATGAAAATATATAAATATACCGAGACAATAAAATATTTCAAATAGTTAACAAGTCCGGACTTTCCCATACCTTATTTCGACAGCAGAAAATGTAATAAGTACTTCGAATGGCAATAGTCATCGTTTTCCTAACACAGTACGTTTGGTAGTTTTTGTCGAGACCAACATTTCGTAACATTTCTAAGAATGTAGAGCATTCTTGCGCAAAAATACCTCGGGAGCTCATGGAAAGATTAACAAAGTTTACTTCGTCAAAATTTTCATCTAGCTGTCTTACTAGTTCTCTATATTTGGCTTTTTTCCGTTTAACATTGTTCTCGAGGTTTGTCTCATAGCCAACAGTGAGCTCGACCACATAGAGAGAGCCATTTGATAATGATAGCAACAAATCCGGGCGATACGTATCACCACTTATTATTGACGGACTTTTGAATCCGGGCACATCAGCGTAGAGGGCAGAACCGTTCACAGTTTGCAAGGTATTGGCGAGAAAGTTCAGGATTGAATTGTGCCTCCACTTAAAGCGATCGAGATAACACTGACATCCAGCGACCACGTGCAATAATGATTCTGGGCCAAGACAAAAGGAGCATTCTGAACTTGAAGACAATCCCCATCTGCTAAGATTCTTACGTGTCGGAAGATAGTTATTGATATAGCGTATAGTAAAGTTATAAATGTTTTTCGGAGGTTTTGATTGAGCAGTAGACCACACATTGTTAAGATGCGACAAGGAGAACTTTGTTACATTAGAGAAAAAGAATCCCTGACAAGGTAATTGGTTTTTGAGTTTATCTTCATGTTCAGAGCGAAAATTTTTAAGCACTTCTTTGGTTGAGTTATAAAAGTCGTATTGGATATTAGTATGAGTATTTCCACAGTTCGTTAATTGATTGATTAGGAGAAAGTTTTAAAGCTTTTCGAAGAACTGTTTGGCATTGGATAAATTTCACCAATGGAGGATAAATACTTTGACCAAATTTGTTACAAGTTAGAAAAACAGTACTTAGTGTTCCTGAGATTGGAATTTCAAGCCATTTACGGATGTATTGGTTGAGTACGGGATCAATATTTTCAATAACCCATGTTCTGAAAAGTTCCAGGATAATTTGGATAAGACATAACGACTGTACACGAGAAGTTTATTTCTTGGGTGGAGTGGCTTCGAGTCAATATCAGTCATTAGTTCATTAACGAGAGTGTTTAGTTCAGTCTTATGGTTAATATTCGACATGTTAAAATCAAAGTAAAGTGCTAAATATTGAAATGTTTCTCCAATCTTTATTGTTGATATCAGCGAACTGGAACCAGTGGATAGGATTTAATAGGTTGAAGGAGAAGCCAAACTGACTCTACTTTTCAGCTTTTATATGTTGGATGAAAGTATTAAAACACATATTGGAAAGAAGAGGACTGAGGCAATCTCCTTGCAATACGCCAAGCCCAAAAGATATAAAAGGGTGCGGAATTCGGAGGTAATTATTGAGGTTTGGAAATCATTGTATAATAATAATAATAATAATGATTTAATATGGCATATCCATTTACATGGCTCTTCACCCGACTTAACATGACTTACTATTAAATTACAAAATGACTTACTATTGTGACCGGGACATAATAGATTCGTGAAAACTGTTTATAATTTTCTTTTATTTTGAACATGTACCCCAAAATACGAGGGCGACGGTTACAAGCTATAAAAGTTAATGCAATATAACTAAGTAAACAAAATATTAAAATACACACTTCCTGTATCCTACAATAAACATGCCGATTTATCAAATACAAAGTAATATATCTCCCAAAAGTTGATGAAACCATAAATATCTCCGTCTATAATGTCAAACTTAAGATAAATCATGCACCGTTCTAAAGAACTATTTACATAAATTACTCAAAATGACCATACTTCAATAGCTATTACGATTAATATATTCATGCGTATATTTTTATACTTTTAACATGATTATAAGACAGCAATACTTCTATAATTACTGGATAATAACGTTAACTTACCGGGCAACTGCCCGAGAATGTTAATTCCCTTTTATTGTTGTTCTTTTCTTCGATATAAATGTTTCTTTGACGATAAAATACTGAATAATATCTTTTGAAATCGCTTTTATATTTTTTTAACCGCATTGGCAGCATGGCGTGTTCATGACGTAACAGGAAGTTAACTAACAATAACTATTAAGGTGTCTCTGAGTCTCTCTACAGTTTATTCAACCTGGCCATACTCTCCCCTGCTAACAAGGTGTCGTCCTCGACCTAACTATATAACCGCAGAGATCACGGAAATCCCAGTTATAAGCACACATATAACTAGGACATCAACATTAAAGTCTCGATACGATACCATCAGTTGATTGCACGTTGGATTTGATTTGCTTTGATGAGTGTTCTGTCTTTTCGCCGCAATCCGTTTCGATCTTCGGAGAGTTGTTGCTGGATCATTGTCTGGCGTTGCTTGAATTTGTTCGCCTTTGGAAGTGGATATGTGATGCTTTTTGGGTGACGAAGGTGTATTAACGAGCAACATAAACTCCGATTCGAACCACATATCCCAGATACGAAACTTATTTTCTAAGAAAACTTCATTTCTCTCGCTTTATCTTTAACCCTTGTTGCGCTAGCCTCGTTAAAACTTTTTCCAGACTTTCCAAGTGTTCGTCAATTGTTTTTGAGAAAACAATAACGTCATCGAGGTAAACCAACAACAATTGCTATATCTGGTCGTGAAGGCAGCTTTGGGGGCACCACAGAGGCCAAACGGCATTCGATTATATTCAACAGTCCAAACGGAGTAGTGAATGCGGTCTTCGGTTTGTCTTCCTCTTCGACTGCGACCTGATTAAAACCGCTTGCAAGATCTAATGTTGTAAATCACTGTGCACCATTGAGCGCATCAAGTGACTCGTCTATCCGGGGTAAAGGGAATGAGTCCTTTTCCGTTCTTAAGCTGAGCTTTCGATAATCAACGCACAGGCGAAGGAGCCGTTCTTCTTTCTCACTAACACAATAGGAGATGCATAAGGGCTGTGACTTTCGCGAATGACTGAGCTATCAAGTAATTTCTGAATGTGTTCCTTCACCTCTTGGTATTGATTTGGGGGAATTCGTCTGTAGGGTTGCGTAACCGGGATGTCATCCTCCGTCCTAATTTTGTGTTTAACCGTCTCCGTGTAGCCAAAGTCATCGTCTGACTTTGAAAATACGGATGCATGCTTGTTCAACAGTGCGTCCAGATTTTCTCGCTGCTCTGGGAAAAGTCCGTTGCAAGGACATTCAGTATTGTCCACGACGTCTGGAATTGATGTGTTCTCGCTATCTTGCACCGTAATCATTTCTTCGTTGACTGACACTCTCTTGAATTCCACACCACTTTCGATGTTGCTGACTGCGTGAACAACACCTATCCTTGTCCTTGGCTGGATCAACAAATTGTCATTGGTTAGATTTGCAACTCTCACACAGAAGGGGGATGACGGTCTCACGAGGGTGTTGAGTACCACTAGGTGCGACAAATGTTGTCCAACAACTGGTTCCACCATTGCCATCTCGCACTTCACTTGACCACCCCAACCAGTGTCAGGTATTGTTGTTATCGAACTAGCTGGGATCCGTAGTGCACGCTTTCCTGCAACTCGAACGATACCTCGTACTGAATATTCGCACGACGTTTAGCAGCCTGGATTGGCTGTGACCATACAGGATCAACTTTACCTAAAAATTCCTTTCCCTCGAACTTAGCTAACACTTGTCCCATTTCACATAGTACATTCATTCCAAGGAGTCCTGGTACGTCTCTCTTCCGTGCTCTCATAGCATCATTGGCAGAATCCTTTACGACCAGTATTCCTCGTCTGGGCATGTTTAAGCCGAAAGCTTCAATCTCAAGTTCGAAATACCCAAGGTAGGGTATTTCTAACCCATTTGCTGCTGTCAGCTTTAACCAACCACTTGTTGAAAGCAGTTCCTATCCCTTTGGTTTAAAATGAGTATTAAAGAATTCTTCTGTAATAGTAGAGACCTCAGAGCCTGAATCAAGTAAACATGATACAGACACGCCTCCAATGTTCACAACAGCAACAGGACACTTGCCAATTATTCTTTCTGGTATGCTATGAGAGTCTGCGCCTTCCCCTCCTACTGTCCGTCTCGCGACTGTGGAGGGGGACCGTTTGGCGCTGATGTATCTTGGCTATGGACATACGATGAGGGTGGGGCAGTATTGCGTGGTGGGCCATTGGATGGGGGAAGGCCGTCATTCTGGCGTTGACTTGTATTATTCACACAATCTCTTGCAATGTGTCCGACTCCTTGGCATTTAAAACAAATTCTGTTCCCTCTTTCGTCAAAACCGCGGAGGGAGGGTTTCGGCCGCCTCTTCCTCCCTGATTCCCCTGAATATTATTGTTGGATATGGAAAGGGAAATAAGGGTTTGGGACAAATTATCAATCGACTTACGCTGCTCTTCAAGGGCTTGCAATACTTTATCCATCTCTTTGTTTGACTGTGTGGTTGAAACTGCTTCACTTGATACATTTCTTTTTGAAGGACGCATCTTTTCATCCTCCTCTGCCCAGTGTAGAGCTTCTTCTCGTACTTCTAGAAACTTAGAGCTTGAGTTGCTTCGTACCATGCGCTTTAATTCCTTCCGTAGAAGTGGGTCTTTCACGTTGTCAGCAAATTGGTCGCGGAGGACAAATTGGTCGTTGTCAGCAAATTGGTCCCTAAATTTTTCTAGATCATTTTACTCCGACTGATGCCTCCCTGGCATCTCTCTATATAAAATTCATGCGAAAAATGTTTAAATGTTCATAACCTTTATTTTTCAATATGTTTGCCACTGGTCATTAACATGTTTTGACTGAGACTGTTCACAAACAGTTTACAGGTACAATAAAATTTAAAACTAACGCCAAATGTTGTCCGTATATAAGCCCCCCTGTAGACGAGACCCCCCCCCCCATGGTATAAGCCCAGGGTATATTACTCGACCACCGTTGTTGCCCTCGGCTTTACTTCTGGCAACAACGGCGGTCTCGGGTCCACAAAACACACTGCTTTTCCGAGGTCTCAGTAAATAAGTGTTTTGTTATATAGTATATAAGGGTTAAAGTATGAATAATTCACCGGTTATTGGAGTGAACTTAATTTGAATCCAAAACTGGATAAATGGAACGCTGTATTAAATGTTTTATTGAAAAGTTTAAAAGACGAACTTTGGAACTTTATGGTTGATGCGCATTGCACCCATTTTATTGTTGACTGGTCAATAAATGTTTCATTGTGGACCGGTTGCCGAACACGATACAGTTTTGACCAATTGGCGAACAGAAAAATTGAACTTTGACACCAATTATATAACAAATTTGGATGTTTACAATATGCCATTATATCTGATTATCTTGTATACTTTGTCTTTGCTTCCTATGTCTCTTATGGAGCTTGTACTGCATTTTTCGCAGTCGTTCCTGGTTAGATCTTAATGTGTATATTATATACTCAACAATTTTGGATTACAAACCCTAAAATCAGCATTCAATATAATCAGTTGCATGTAATGTTTTGTGAACATAAACCCTTTTGATGTATTACATCGCTGCTGTGGGACTGGTTCGAATTCATTTGCATTGGTCTGCATGCTACTGGGTCCAAATCATAGAAACATTAGACCTAGAATGCGTGCTTGGTCACATGACCGATGTCCACATTGAAAACAAAAATGCCCTTATAAATCCGCCATGTTGGATTGGTCCAAGGGGCATTATTATGGGGCGAGATTAATTTGCCCTTACAATTTGGCCATTTTGAATAGTTAATGTGGCTTCACTTGTTTAACTGAGAAAGGATAGGAGCACACATTCTACTGGTTTAATTAATATTTCTATGGTCCAAATGCATTGACATGGGAAAATTGCCTAAATCAATAGTGATAGGGCAGAAGAAACTCTTAAAACCGAATGTAGTTGTAACTATACCATAATGTCTATTACAGTCAAACGGGATGTTCTATTCCCCTGAATATTGCAATATTGTTGGGAATATTGCAATTTTGATTGCGAGATTGCTCTGAGCAAGTTCCAACCGACCTGATCAAATTGCAAGTTGAAATTCACAACCATATTTGTAAACAAAATCTCCGAATGGCTACTAGTAACAAAGAAGAACTGGTCAGTCAAATACTCTGAGCAAATTGATTGGTTCTTTTGCTTCATGTGATTGATGCATGTAGTGGTGTGGGCTCTTGTGAAGTGGCGTGCCAACAAAAAGGATTGAAATGTGTTGTTTTAGAGAAGTCCCCCTAAAGATTAGACTTATTAACCAAAGGGTGAAACAATAAACGGACAACGTGTTAAACAAAGAAGAGACCGCATGTTTTTTTATCATTTAATTGTTAGTATATTCTTGTACGGTTTAGACATGTTTCAAACGTCACATTTTGCATGTGCCAAACGCAATAAAAACAACAGATAATGATTAATAAGACATTTTAACTGAGATGTTCGATACATGCAAAATGCGCCGTTTGGGCGCGTTCTCGATAAAATAAACAACTTACCGCAATCCCTAATCTAATCCTAATAAATAATGCATATTTCAGTAGCTCATATATCGAGAAAGAACCGATGTTTGAAACAAGCCTGACCTTATTTCCCATTGTATTTACAGCTATTTCAATTAAAACTGTTGCATCAATATAGTCTAATTAACTTGCAGAATATCTAACAAGTTTCAAATTCAAAGCGTTTCTTACCAGCAACATTTCTAACTAGTTGGCGCTGCAATTACAGTGCTAAACTCAAACCCTGCATGAAGAATATTTGACTAGTTGGCGCTGCGATTGCAGTGCCAAACTCAAAGCTTGCATGCAGAATTTGTAACAATTTGGCGCTGCAATTGCAGTACCAAAATCAAAGCTTGTATGCAGAATATCTAACAAGTTGGCGCTGCAATTGCAGAGCCAAATTCAAAGCGTGCATGCAGAATATCTAACAAGTTGGCGCTGTAATTGCAGTGCCAAACTCAAAGCTTGCATGCAGAGTATCTAACAATTTTGCGATGGAATGGACCATTTGCATTATAGACTAAATTTTGATCTAGACAAAAATTTCATCACAACTTGAAAGAGCATCACAAAATTAGTAATATTCCAAAGTTTCGTTGCGAAATATTGTAAAATGCGGATAATATAGCCATGCGAAATTTGCCGTTTTTCAGTCATTTTGTATTACGCACGGGAAATTGACAGCCCAATCGGGTGTTGGGGCATCAATTTCCCGTTTGTAATACAAAATGACTGAAAATTGCAAATTTCGCAAG